TGAATATTTACTATGTGGAATAGAAAATGTGAAAGAACGCGCTCAACTTTGCAGAGAATGCAAGGTTATATAACACTTGAGTGCTCTTCCGAGGATAATTTTTCTCACAGTAGATGTTATCTGTTGGAAACAATCTACAGCTCCACATGTTTTCAGTAACGAATTTTCGCTGGCCTGGCATCTAGATAAAACTTTACAAGGAAAATAATGCACTCATCTAGATATAGTAAATTAGAAAAATTAAATCTTGCTTCATGGAAAATAATTCCTTGTCGTTGAGATTTTTTATAATTGATAATGTTATATTATCCGTTTCAGTAGAACGAGAATCATTCTTACGTGTTTCTGTCTTTGCATAATTAGGAAGCTTTTGATGTAATCTTACATTTTTCATTGTGTACGATAGAGATACTCTAGCATTTCTTCAGCTTTAAGTGATAAGAAATAATATTCTACTTTTGAAGGATTTAATAGAATAAAATCATAAAACTTTGATAGGTGATGAAATATCTTTGAAACATACATTTCTATTTTGTATTATTCAAGCATTACCAAAACAATGCCAAAGTTTCTCAATAAAAATTTTAATAACAAAAGTTCTGTTACTATATTGACACATTATAACTCCTGAAGGGATCAGGTAAACAAGACTACATGTAAATAGAAAACGTTCTAGTTTAAATAAAGTTTACAAGAAATAAAGCAAAAATTTCTTGAGCAACAGATAGAATTTCTTCATCGATAGCGACAAAGTTCTCTATCACTTTCACATACAAAGTTCACTTTGAAAGTCATGGCGAGTCTTGTTAATTTTAAAAAATAATTAAATTTACGAACCTATCGCCTGCATTATACCATAAATATGGAATTTTATTTACTTTATCAAACCTGCCCTATGAAAACTTCTGGAATAACTATATCCACAAAAGTTTTACTATACCAACACAGTTCTATAATATTTACTCTGTAAGTTTCCAGAAAAGTTCTTGAATTAAAAGTCTGTACCCTATCGAAATTCCACGTAAACAAATATTTCTTTTAATAAAAAGGAAAGGACTTTAGAATTTCATCTTTAATAAAATAATATCAGTATATTCGTGATAAACATATTAATACAAATATATATAAATATATTATACAAAAATAAAAAAAGTGTTTGTATAATATAAATATATTATACAAAAATAAAAAAAGTATATGTATAATATAAATATATTATACAAATATAATTAAATATAATAAAAATAACATTATATTTTATGATTCCCTACAGAAGTTGCACGAAAACAAATATTTGTCTAAATTAAAATTAACGGAGACTTCCTAAAAGAGCTTAAAGATTTTATTTTTAAATAACAAAATACACATAAATATACATAAATATATTTCATAAATTATACAAATCAACTACATTCTGTACCATCTCTGTTTAAATTAAGTCCCTTCACAAATTCAACCAGAAATGTTAACCGTAATCGCTTTTTTCCACTTTTTCTTATTTTGTACTCGATTGAATTCGAATCGCGCGGTTATCGCGGGTCGATTTCGTGCTTGAGACCCCTCGTGAAAATTCAAAAGAGCATCGACGCGTTTCCCGCCGCGACGAGGGGTCTCGACGGCTGGCAGCCGTCTCGCAAGGAGTAAGTGCGCGGAGGCCTTCGGTTGCTGCCGGTGGTATGTGAAAGGAGAGTTCAGAGATATTTCCTTGGCTAATGCACGACGAGGACGCGGTCGAGGGAGGGGGCAGAAGCGGTCGCACGACCGACAGCAGAAAGAAAAAGAGCCGCTGGTGCGACCAGCAAGCGCGACGAAGACGGCCGCGGAGAATCTCGTTGCAGCAAGAGAAACAAAACGGGGGAAGAGTAAAGGAGCAGCTAGTATAGAAAAGAGGAAGAGGCAGGGCTGTCTAGGAGAGGGGCCCGAGGAGCGGGAAACCAGGGAGGGTAAATTTATCTGTTGGCGCCGCGCTGCCGAGCGGGAGCCCACACTCTCCACCGTAGTTTTACTGTTTCGAGTCGCGCCGTTACGCGAAACTTTTAGTCCCATCGGCCCGTTAGAATTTTAGCGCGAACGGGGCACGGTCAGTTTATTTTTTGGTAACCTGTGAGACACATCCAAGTGCCTTAGGCTCCGATAAGGATGCCTCCATCCATACAACAAAAATTTTGTTTGCTTTCGATTGGACCTACTTCGTCTTTACAATAATTATTATCGCGATGGTGGTCATGCTTGTACCAAAGGACATTATAGTAGATCTTGTAGACGAGTCGACCATTTTGTTTCGTCTTCATCTTCAACCATTTTGTTTTTAATCACCCTGAGACTGCACCTACTATTCCACATCTTTTCAGTAATTATTAACATGAAGCTAGCTTGTACTTACATTAGAGGACGTCTAGTATGTCTTCCAGTTGAATCGACCATTTTGTTTCGTTTTCATCTTCAACTATTTTCTTTTTAATCACCCTGAGACTGCACCTACTATTCTACATCTTTTCAGTAATTATTAACATGAAGCTAGCTTGTACTTACATTAGAGGTCGTTGTAGTACGTCTTGTAGTTGAATCGACCATTTTGTTTCGTCTTCATCTTCAACCATTTTGTTTTTAGTCACCCTGAGACTGCACTTACACTTCTTCATCTTTTCAGTAATTAGTAATATGATGCTAGCTTGTACTTACATTAGAGAAAATTATAGTACGTCTTCCAGTTGAATCGACCATTTTGTTTCGTCTTCATCTTCAACCATTTTGTTTTTAGTCATCCTGAGACTGCAGCTACTCTTCTCCATCTTTTCAATAATTATTAACATGAAGCATGCACTTACATCGGAGAAGATTATAGTACGTCCTGCAGTCGAGTCGACTACTTTGTTTAGTCTCTATTTTCAACCATTTTGTGTTTACTCATCTTGGTACCTATTATGAATCTTCACCTGAAGTATTCACCTGTCTCTCATCAAGTTCTTTCACAAGTATCTCATCGTCTTATCAACCTAAATTCTTTAAATTCTCTCTAAATTCATCAAAAGTATTAAATATAAAATAGACAGTAAATCATGCACCTTCTACTTTTAAAGACGCCATGTTTATTTCACTTGAGATCGCATCTGAATATGCAACGTATATACAACGTACGAACTAAATAACAAATATACCCAAATGGAACAAAAAGGATACCCGACGTGCCAATAAAAATGTAATTTTTGCTTCCCTCCAAAAAAATTGCACCCTGTGGTACCCCCCTTTTCATACTAAAATGAGAGAAGCTGCAAGAGGTACTCGTAAAAACAAGATACATGCTTGCAAAATGCAGTATACAAAGTTTATAACTTGCACGGAGTACAACTCACAAGCGTAAACTTAAACATTCAGGGTTAGGAGTTATAGTCCGCGTAAAATGTCCATGTTATACCCCTCCTCCTCTAGGAGATGTACAAGACTCAAATATGATTTTGTACGCATTCCGTTGGTACACGGCAATCGTGAACGCAATGGATGACGAATTTTACGCAGACCTCGCTACCATGTGGCGAAAAATTAGTCGAAATTCGATGACACAATGGCGGGTGGACGGTTCAGGCTTCGTGTGAAAAGTTTCGACGTGGCCAGCGCACAATAAACTCGCAACCTAACCATGTGAATTATAACAGGATGCAATGGCATTAAGTTATTACATTTAGGAGTGCAAATGGGCGTGCACGGTGTAACCGTTTCCGGTTGTATCGCGTAGTTGAGCATCGCGATTCCTCTGACGCTTGAATTTTCTCACTGTTCAGATGTACGGCTGTATATTTTACTTGTCACATTCGAAACAAATATCGTCGCACGAAGAGGCTAAACAAACATCGTTCATTTGTTTAACAATCGTTTCTGTTGAATATCTAGGCCATTTTCAGTCTAGAATGCTTGAAAATATGAACGATAGAGTTACACGGTTAATTTATGATATTTGATGAACATCTTGAGTGTTATTTTCTTTTTCTTCTATCTATTATTATAATTTCATGTATTATTCCACCTCGCTTATTTCGATTCGTAATTGGACCGCCTCCTATTATTCTGACATGTCGTTTTAAATCGACATTTGTTTCTTTATCTTTTAAATAACATCAATCGATAAATCGTCGTTTCCAAGTATTTGCTACTTTCACATCTATTCAATTCCTCAATTTCATCCATGCTTCCTCAAATTTTGTTCATTTCAATAGATTTCTGAGACACTCATAAAGTACATCCTTCTATACTTCGAATTTGAATTATTACTCAACCAGTAAGGAGCACAGTGTAACTCTTATTCCTCATTCGAGATTCCATCTAGATACATTTGCCCATCTCGGTTGCAACCCCCATTGGCGAATCAATACCACCGATTAACAAATGGGGTGAATTAGTAAGAAAACTCCCCGATTAACCATTTAATCGCAGCCCCGTCGAAAGCGACGCAATTTATCGATATGGGAAAAATCGTAGCAATTTGCGAAAACGAGTAAGCACGCCGGGGAGTCCCCGACAATGGTTCGTGTCTCTGGCAACATCCCTACGGACGATGTCGCGCACTGTTTTCGAATCTCCGTGTTTTCCCGCTCGACTAGCTCGACGAGAATGCGTGCATGCGTGCGTAAATACGCGTCGTATACTCCAGAGGCCCTATACGGGGTGTCTGGTACGTTGGCATTCGAAAAACTTCGTTCCGATGCTTAGCAGGACATTCTAACCAATATATCTCGTGAACACCATGGGTCTACTACGTTTAGTTACTTAGCCATGTAGAAAATAAGACGTGGAGCATGTTTATTGAGAAACTATAATTTCGATATATTTTATTATATTTTCGATTTTATATCAAATTTATAGGAGTTGTTTCATTCTTACCATCCATGTGTTAGTCATCTAAAGCTGAATAAAAATATAAATATGATGGAGTTGTTTCATACTATTCATCCATGTGTTAGTCATCTAAAACTGAAGAAACATAGAAATTTGATGGAGAAAGAAAATTAAGATTGGACCCCGATGGTTGCATGAATTTAGGCCTGAAAGTCCTTACAACAATGGAGGTAGTACTTCCACTGAGCGTACCTCCAAAACTTCCTACCCTCCATGTCTCTAATCTTGTTACTTATTAAATAACAATATTTCACTAGCTCCACCATGCAACGAACGAGGTCCTAGCGCAACGACCGGGGCCCCTTCAAGACCCAGCATAACTGACCAAAAAAAAGAGATCTCACAGACTCACGTTGCACGCAACATTCTTCGCTCAGAATGACCTACCGAACACGTGGCGAAGTTTGTTGGGAACTTCAGCAGACACCCTGTAAGTTCTTGGCGCGCAAATCACTGGCAACGGCAGAAATGTACGCGAGGAGCAAACGAGACGCGCAGCATCGGCAAACGGAGGCCAACGCGAGCGGGGAAGAAAGAAGGAGGACTGGTAGAAGAGGAGAGGACGTCGAAGGACAGGCCCATTGAAACAGAGAGCAATTTACGAGGCATCCGAGAGAGACGACGCGATGCCACGCGTCCGAAGAGGAGAATGCAAGGAGCGTGGGAGAGAGAGACGAGAGAGAAAAAGTTTTTCGTATGTACCCTTGGGCAATGTGTACGTTTATATCCCGAACGAAAGAACATTACTCGCGCAACCGCGCATGCGTGTCCGTTGTCCCACCTCCTCCGCCTCCACTTCTTTCTTCGGTGTCTCCTTCGACCGCTGTTTAACTCTTTTCTCCCTCTCACCCTCCATTTTTGTTCTTCTTTTTCGTCGCGCTTTTGTCACGCGTCTGGGTGTCAGTCTGTTGTGCGGTTCCACGAAACGATCGTGCCCCGTTTCTTCTTTTTCTTTTCTTTTTCGGTCGAACGAGTCGCGCTGCAGTTTAGCCCGGCGTTCCTTTTTTTTCCGTCGCCCAGGCAGCGAGTTAATTGAAAGGAGCGGAAAGGTTACTTAGGCGGGTTTTGTCCTTCGAGCACACTTCCGCTTGGAATTCCAGCTTGGAATTCCTCGTATCGGAAGTCATCCATTTTTAACGGAGGCATCCTTGGTCAGCCTTGAGAATTGCGGAAAGAAGGTTGCGATTTAGGACGCTCGGACAGCTTCGACAGCGGACTAAAAGTGAGGATAGAATCTAAAGATGGCGCGTGGCGGACGGAGTTAGAGGTTATTTAGTAACTTCGTTGTGCTGATAGATATTTGTCTAGATTGAACTGTTTTGTTTCATTATTTATATATCATTAAACTGAATAGATGAATTTAGTTAGGAGGAAGGAACATTTTTGGGGGAGTCTTTGGAATAGAATCGCACTTTTTAAATATAGTTATTTAATCCCGACGCATTCAATTAAAATTCCGGAGTACCTAGAAATATCTAAGGTTGGAGCTTTGTACTCAAAACATTAGGTCCCACTCTCTAAGTATTTCCTTGCCTACAACTAAAGTTCAAGAGTACTAAGGAGGACCCAGAGTTGAGGCTTTGAACTCCCCAAACTTTAAGTTCCACTCTCCGGGTATTCCCCTGTTTGAAACTAAAATTCCAAAATACCAAGGAATACCTAGACTCAGGGCTTTGAATTCCAAACCGTAAGTTCTCTAAGTATTCCCTTACCTAAAATTCCAGAGTACCCAGATGTACCCAAAGTACTAAGGAAT